GAAGAACCCTAAGGGAATGAAATGTTGGGATAAGTAAGTGAATCAGATTTTTTCACTCCATGGACAGTGATGGCTTTTCAAACTCAGTGCCTGTATTTGATCCCAATTCAGATTTCACTAAAGTTCAATTGACTAATTAGGTGGACCTCTGAGACAAAAAGATGAGGGATACAAATTTATGAAGCATGGGAACTGTATGATTTTGAATAAGTTTCTCAATCCCTTTGAGACTCCATGAAATCATTTGGATAATGAAGTTGAACTAAATAATCCTGAAGGATCCTTCAATCTCTAGGATTTTATGCTTCTGAGATACCAAACTCTATTTCATCAGCTCTGTGAGGATATGTTAAGAGTTTTCCATTTAGATCCCATTTAGATTGGGGTCAACCATTTAACATCCATTTATTCATTCACTAAACCTCTATTATTCCCCTCTATGTCCCAGGGACTATTTCTGGTTATGCAGAAACAAAATTCCAACAGTCTTATCTCTTAAGAAGGTTATATTCTACTGGGGAAAATGTACATAAATCGGTAAGTACAAAATAATAGAAGCAAATACAATGTAATTTTCTTGAGGGGGCAGAGTAGAAGAGATTAATAACATCTGGGAAGGTCATAAAAGATCTTGAGTATCACTGGCATGTGAACTGAGTTCTGAAGGAAGTTGGAGATTCCAAAGGGAGTAGATGAGGAAGGAGGACATTCCAAGAAGGGAGAATAAACTGAAAAAAAATGGAGACAAGCAATGAACTGTAATGGATGTGAGACGGCAAGCAAGTCAGGTTGGCTAAGATTTTGAATCTGTGATGGGGAATAAAATGTAATCAGCTGTGATCAGTCGGTTAGAGCAAAATTGTAAAGGTTTGAACATCAAATCAAAGTATTTATATTTTATTCAGGAAAAAAGAAAAGAAGGAATGACTGATGAACAATTAAAGGAATAAAGGAATCAGCATTGATTAAATATTTATTGTTTGCCAAGAACTTTACTAAGTTAGGGATAAAAATTTAAAAGGCAGATACTACTGGGTCTCAAGGAACCCATCTTCCAATTAAGCGAGAGAACACATAATGAAAATCTACTGTTTATATGGTGCTTGAAACTATGCAAAATGTTTCGCATTTCTTATCTAACTTCAACCTTAGAGGATAGGTGTTATTATTATCCTCATCATACAAATAAGGAAAATGAGGCTGATAGAATTTAAGTGATTTACCCAGGGTCACCCTGCAAGTAAGTATCTGAGGCAGGTTTCAAACTCAGGTCTCCCTGACTCCATGTCTGGCACTTTATCCACTATGTCATCTAGTTGCTCATATAGGAGAATTCATCTCCAGGGCAGATGGAAATGGCTAGTGGTGCTTAGGATACAGACAGAGGGCAGGTGGTAAGAACTAGTGGCCTACCATCTTTCTGGAAGGATAGTTGCTTTTATTTCACTGCTCAGCCAAGTTATATGAGCAGTCATATAGTCCCATTTGGGTGGGGTTGGGGTACAACTGGAGAGACCTACTCAGTGATTTTTGAGGAAAAAGGACTGGACATGATGGTCAGAGTATAACATGAGCTCAGGGACCCCTGTTCACACAGTGATGGGAATGGAGTGAGTGGTCAGCATGCAGCTTAGGAGGAGAGTCTAGCATTCATTGGAAAATGGCTAACAGAGGCTAAAGAAAGAGAAAAGAAGCACTCTTCACTGCCTGCTCTGACTAGACCTCCAGCATCTATTGGGATCTTGACATTGAGTGGGCAAGAATATTTTAGAAGAAATAGGGAGCCAGATAAATTTTTTGATTTAGTCAAATCTGTGCTTCAAGAATATCAGTTTGGGGGCAGTTAGGTTGCACAGTGGATAGCACACCAGCCCTGGAGTCAGGAGGACCTGAGATCAAGTCCAGTCTCGGACCAGACACTTGACACTTACTAGCTGTGTGACCCTGGGCAATTCACTTAACCTCATTCCCTAGCACAAAAAAAAAAAAAGTTTTTAAAAAGAATATCAGTTTGGCAGCTTGTGGAGAATAGATCAGTGGGCCACTGCAGATAAAATGTTTGTTAATTGCCTGTAAGCTCCATCTAGCCCAGGGCTTCAAGAATTCTACTAATTGAGACTTGATCATGGATTTCATATTACAAAAGGTGTCTTTTCAATGTAGCTTCCTTCCATTTGGAAGTGATAAGTCACTTTTGTTGTTGGGTAGATTATGTATTTGTATGTAGACATCTGTCTCACTTTATAGTGCAGAAGATGGATGATGTATCTACCATTTTACTGCTTTTTGTGGAACCATCTGGCATGAATGAAGAGACTACAGCACCAGGAATCGCTAAAGCACCAGAAATCAGAATACTTGATTTCCAATTCTGAATCAGACACTAACCAGCATTGTGAGTCCTAGAGGATTTCATTTAACCACTCCAGCTTTAGTTTCCTCATCTATAAAATGAAGGAGAAAGCTAAATGGTCTCTAAGGCACTTCCCATCTCTAACATTGTGCAATCCTATGGGGTACCAGGCACTCGCTGCAGTTTCATGCTCAGGGTGAGTTGTTTTAAGGAACTGGAGTCACTTGAGATAATGATGTAAGAGGCCAAAAGGTTATGTGGTGATTAAAAAAAATCTTGCCAACAGATGGGTCAGTTGGTTTTATCCTTGGCTTGGAAAAGGGACAATGCTGGAGTGGAGAGTGGAGTCTCTAGATGTCTACCAAGTCTGGCAGGAAGTCCTTTCGCTCAATCCCAAGGGAATAAGCAAGGTTCCCTCTACATCTTATGAAAGTACAAACTACAATAGTGATTTGTGCCAGAATTTAAGAATTTTGTTATCCGGCTGCTCAGAGTACCTACACTTAAGGTGTGAGGAGAAGAAGTTGTTGAAGGCTTGCTAACACTGTCCTTGGCTTTTTCAATTCCTTCTCAAACCTCCTATTGGTTCACATTGTTTTTCCCATCTTCCCTTAGCTCCTAAGACTCCATCTGGTGCATCCAGCTTAATTGTGACTTCTAAATTAAGGCTTCCAAGTCTTGGTCCTTTCATAATCTCCAGTTCTCTCTTTTAATAGTATTCCCCTTTCTCTGGATGGGCATTACCTATCACTGAGCCAATGTCCCAATACCTTTCCTGTCCACATAACATCTATATATCCATTTCAGGTATGACTTTTCCAAAGTCTCTTGCTAGTAAGTTTCAGAATTGGATTAGAAGTCAGGGGTTCTTACTCACAATCCAAGCCTGTTTCCTTCACGCCATGCTGATTGAACATTCTGATAGAGAGCTACCAAACATGCTTTCAGAAAGTAATAGATAATAAAAGTAATCATAGCTCATTTCTACAGCCTTTTACAGGTAACAAAGTGTTTTTCTCACTGCAATACTATCAGGTAGAGATAATAAATACTATGATTCCCATTTTACAGATGAGGAAATTGAGGCTTACCATACATTAAGCAATTGTTCACAGGCAGAAGCTAGTAAGTGGAAGAGTAAGGACTCAAATCAATTCAATTCTCCACTAAATGACACTAGAGCCTCAATAACTTTTTGCTAAACTGATTTTAATGGCTTACCAATTTTTGAAGAATTAAAATATGATAAAATTATTTAATGTGATAAGAACATAATTTAATATTTTTTCAAAGGATCTAGAGTTGAATGCTTAGCATTCTAGTACAACTCCTTCATTTTGTGCATGAGGAAACCAATATCCAATACACATTAATTCCGATCTCCCATTTTTCTCTGTTTCTCCCATTCAACACCACATTTTCCATCTGCCTGCCTTTGCACTGACTATTCTCCGTGCCTGGAATATGCTTCTTCTTCCCCTCTGATTTGTAATATCCCTTAATTTCTTTTAGATTCTCTTTCTACTATGCCAAGATAATTCAGAAGACATTTGTGACTAGAAGATTTAGGGGCAGAGGTCACAATAATGCATAATTTCATTTCTGAATACCTACAGTTATAAATTTCTATTCCTAATATGTGGTTCATTGTCTTTAAACAATAACCCCAATGGCAAGTTATTATTATTACATACATTCATTCTAACTTCAGTCATGTATTATATTAGTCAGACCTCCAGCCTTTGTTTACTATTTCCCCACCCAGAATCCAGTGGTGTATCTTAGCTTCAGATGGGAAGTACGTTGGCAAACTCTAGAAGAACTCTGGATTTTTAGTAAGAAGAATTGGATTCATTTGATTCTTGGCTTTAATATGTCCTTAGTTGTTTGGCTGTATGTCTTTTTAGTCATTCAACTTGCTCATCCAAAAAAATGGGAATAATAATGACCTCACTATGTATCTAATGGGATTGCTGTGAGAAAAGCACTTTGTAAACACTTGGGTCTTATATAAGTATGTCCTTATCTGTTAGGCTGATAGCCTACCAAGCTGAGTAGAGGTCTGGAATATTTAAGTTTGTTTGTTTGTTTGTTAGTTTTTTGTTTTGTTTTGGTTTGGTTTTTGTTTGTTTGTTTTTTTTATCCAGGCAATAAGGTTAAGGGACTTGCTCAGGGTCATGCAGCTAGTAAGTGTTATATGTCAAGCCACATTTCAACCCAGGTCCTCCTAAATCCAGGGCCAGTGCTCTATGCACTGCACCACCTAGCTGCCCCAAGATTTAAGTTTTTAATATAAAATTATGGAAGCAGGTGCTTTACCTGAGAGTTTGGCTTTATTTTAAAGAAGGATATGCAGCACAATGGTCTTATCCTCACCAGGTCTTCCTAGAAAATATGGTAGGAAATATACAGGGATTTTACCAATACCTAGGTTAGAAATAATCAGAATGTTTCCACAAAAAATTTCTTCCCAAAATCTTGTCTTCAGCTACCTGCAAGTTGGAGACTCTGTCTTATATCCTTTATGTTCCCACAGTCTAGCCTGGGGCCCTCCGTATAGTAGGTGAAAAATGAAAAGTTGCTTGACTATATATTACTTAACCTCCAATCATCTCTGATGTCCTTTTCCCCACACAGATAGAGGGAAATGTATCCAGAGAACTGGACCCAGGTAACAGAATTTGTGCTGATCGGTTTCCCTGGTAGCTGGACCCTACAAATCACACTGTTCCTGGGGCTTCTGGTGACATATGTGGTGACAGTCACAGGGAATTTCCTCATCATTGTGCTTAGCTTTTCTGACCATCGCCTGCACACCCAGATGTATTTTTTCTTGAGAAATCTGTCCCTCCTAGAGCTGGTATTAGTCTCCGTTGTTGTACCTAAGATCCTGGTCAGCATCCTCACCAGGGACTACTCTATCTCCTTTGCTGGCTGCATCATGCAGTCCTACTTCTATTTCCTCCTAGGCACCACAGACTTCTTCCTCTTGGCTGTATGTCCCTTGACCGATATCTGGCCATCTGCCGTCCATTACACTATGAGACTCTGATGAATCGTCCCATCTGTGTCCGACTAGTGATAGCCTCCTGGATTGCTGGTTTCCTTTGGGTTCTCTCTCCTACCATCCTCATGGCTAGCTTGCCTTTCTGTGGCCCCAATGTCATTGACCACTTCTTCTGTGACAGCTGGCCACTTATGCGGCTCTCTTGTGGAAATACCCAACTTCTAGAGTTAGTGGCCTTTATACTTTCCACAGCTGTTCTTCTGGGCTCCCTAGTACTGACTTCTGTCTCCTATGCATGTATCCTTGCTACTGTCCTCCAGACTCCATCAGCCACAGAACGGAAGAAGGCTTTTTCTACCTGTGCTTCACATCTCACCATGGTTGTCATCGTCTATGGCAGCTCCATCTTCCTTTATATCCGCACATCAGAGGCCCACTCTATGCTCCTTAATAAAGGAGTCTCAGCGCTGGGATGCATCATCACCCCACTTCTGAATCCATTCATCTTTAGCCTCCGTAACGATAAGGTGAAGCAGGCCCTAGGAGATGCCTTGAGATGGCATAGGAATATAGGCAACAGAAGGCTGTAAGGAACTTGGGAAATGGGGAAAGAGGATCTCTTCATAGTTTGTGAGGCAAAAAGGCCAAGGTGACAGGCTACTGTTGTCTCTTGGAGTCAGAAGAGACTTCATCCATAAGCAATGAAAAAGATTCTTGGTGGTGTAGGGATGTTTTTAAACACAGATAAGGCAAACACCATCATTAGAGGCATCTATAAACAGGAAGGATAGCACCATAGTCTAGTAGAAAAGAGCATTGGGCTTAGAATCAAAAGGCTTCAATTTGAGTCCCAGTTCTCCAACTTAATACTTATGTGACATAAGGCCAAGTAACCTTCCATCTGAAACATCATTTATAAAATGAGGGGGGCTGTTCCCTTCCAGAGTTAAGATTCTGTAGCTCTTCAATTATTATATAAAAGCTTTATAAGCCACATAAAGAACCTAACTAGAAAGCACTACATATGGGATGGAGTGTAATCTTTTAGGGGGAAAAAATGAGTAGTTAACAAAATAGGGTATTTTCAAGCATTCCTGACAAAAATGCCAGAGTTGAATAGAAAATCTGACATTCAAACACGAGACTCAAGAGAAGCAGAAAAAGATAAACATGAAAGAGTAATCACTAGGGACTCAACAAAGTTACACTGTTTACATTCCTGTCTGGGAAGATGATATCCCAAAGAGGTCAAAGAAAAAGTAAACTGAACTATATGTACAAAAATATTGATAGCAGCTATTTTTGTAGTGGCAAAGAATTTTAAATCAAGGGGATGCTCTTCAATTAGGGAATGGCTGAATAAATTGCGACATATAATTGTGATGGAGTACTATTGTGCTGTGGGAAATTATAAAAGTGGACTGGTTTCAGAAAAACATTGCAAGACATATATGAATTGATGCAAAGAGATGTGAGATGAACCAGGAGATCATTGTGCACAGTAATAGTGAAGTTGTAATGATGATCAGCTGTGAAAGACTTGGCTACTCTAATCAATACTATGATTCAAGACAATTCCAAAGGACTCATGATGATAAAAAATGCCATCCACTTCCAGACAGAACTGATGAACTCTGGCTGCAAACTGAAGAATAATATTTTTTATGTTATTTTTTCTTACCTTTTTTGAAATATGGCTAATATGGACATATGTTTTATAAGATTTCATGTGTATAATTGATCATATTACTTACCTTCTGAATGGGTGGGGGCAGGGTGGGAGGGAGGGAGAGAATTTGGAACCAAAAATTTAAAAAGAAAGGAATGTTAAAAATAAACAAATAATTTTTTTTTAAAGAGGGGAGTGGTTCTATGGCAACAAGACCCTGAGAGCGGGGTAAGCAAGCCGGATTGAGTTTAGTTGCTGAGACCTAGGAAAAGAAGCAGCATTATGCTGAGCTGCAGATAGAGGGCCTTAAAGACCTAGAACTGTACTGTTTTCAAGGCATGAGGCTGAATTTTTCTGAGTGATGGGGAGGAAATATCACCCCGATCCCAGCACCTAACTCACAGTATTGTTGCAAGGACCAGATGTGATAATATTTGTAAAATGCTTTACACAGTGCCTGGAACATAGAAAATACTATATTAAGTACTGAATGGGTAGAGGCGGGGTGGTTATGGCCCTAAGTACACGCACAGCTCATTTTTCTAAATATGTACATACCTAGAACATGGACAGCAGTCTCTAAAGTATGCTACTGAGAGATCCAAGTAATCTCTGTGTAACTTCAGTTGTCCTATCTTTGAGTTGGAAAGAGTGACTTGAAAGTGGATAATCTCATCTTCAAATTGGAAGAAGGACAGTATGGGGTAGTAGAAAGAGCTTAGGATTTGAAATAAAGAACTATTGATAACTCTGAGCTATGTGAGCATGGCCACTTAACTTCTCTGAGCCTCCGTTTCTTTATCTGTAATATGGGGGTGATAATTCATGTCCTGCCTACTTTACAGATCTTTTGTAAAGATCAAATGAAATAATGAACCTAAACTGCTTTGAAAAACTTAAAGCTCTAATTAGGAACTAATAACCTAATCTTAAGCAATGGGTGGGTCAACAAACAAATAATAGAAGCAATCAATAATTTCATTAAAGATAATGACAATAATGACCATATTAAAGGTGACAACAACAAATCAAAATTTGTGGGATGCAACCAAAACAACAATTAGGGTAGTATTTATCTTTAAATGCTTAGCATCAATTAAAAAAAAAAGATAAAGAGCAAAACAATGAATTGGACTTCATATTTACATATACATATATGGACCACACAAACACACACACAGAAACCTCTGAGCTAAGGCCAATAAAGGACTTGATATAAAACACAGCGATGAAATAATAAGTTTTTAAACATTCCTTTCACTATCTCCTCTTGAAACAGAATTACTGATCTAAAGAAACAAGTTTATCCCTTTTAAAATTGTTTTGCTGTAAGTCCATGGACTATATTTGTATGCAAAAGTTTAAAAACAACTGCTCTTAGCATTTACCAAAGGATTGTCAGTAAGGTCCTGTATCAGAAGCAATTGGGAAGGTAAATAGTCACCATTTTGTGCTCCCTGATGAACTAAGCTCCACAAATCTGGAGAAAGAACTAACAGGAGCACAAATATGAGGATGAAACTGACAATCTACTGAAGTTTCACACCATAGACTTGATGTAGATCCACATATAATCTTCATATACAGTGTTTTTCCATTTCAAGCAACTCCTCATCTTTACACATAACTGTATTGTCCTGAGCAAACCCAGACCCTTCTGATAATGTGTGTATTAATGTCATCATTATCCCAAACAGAATGATAGAATTAGAGATTTGGGAAAGACCTCATCATTTGTCTAGTCTAGCCTATGCCTGAAAAAGACACCCCCCCACACTATGACATACCTTAAAGTGTTCTATCTAGTACCTACTTAAAAATATCTGCTATGATTTGGAGTAGGGATAACTACCTGCTGAAGAAGCCTATCCCACTTATGGAGAGCTCTAATTCTTAGGAAGTTCAAATTTCTTGATGTTGAGTCTAAACATAATCCTTTGATGGTCATTGATATAAAGCCTCCATATGCAACAAAATATTTACAGAGACTCTTTATGTAGGAGCAAAGAACTAGAAACAAAGTAAATGTCCTTGGATTGGGGGATAGCTAAACAAATTGGGGTACATGAATTGATGGAATATTACCAGTCTATAGAAACAACAAATGGTGAATAGTGAAAAGCATGAATAAATGTACATAAACTGGAGCAAAGTGAAACAGAACAAAAATATATGAACTTCAACAACTAAAATGAAAGGAAAATAATCACAAACCAATCTAAATAATTTCAAAGTTATAAAGAACAAGACTGTCCCTGAAGAAGGTACGAGAAGCCAATCTTTCCCATTCCTTTGTAGATAAGGGAGATTCATGAGGGTTGAACATCCTATACGTTGTTTTAAAAATGAGTTGATCATTTTTGCTGAATTTCCTCTACTTTTTTTTCTTTTTCTTCTTTTAAATTATTTTCATGAAATGACTGTCTGGGATGGAAGAGGAGGTATACAAGAGGAAATATAAGAACTGTAAAAAAAAATTTTTTTAATTTTATTTACCTCATAATTCCCACAACTTGCTACTGGATTTTCTCTTGGAGGCTATACTCAAACTACAGTCATTTTCGAATCATCCCTTTTCTTCCATGATGCCAGTACAACCTTCATCCAATATCCATTTAGTCACCAAATCCTATACTCCTCTTTTGTATTATTTCCTCACTTTGTTCCATCTTAACCATTCCCACTGTCACTATTCTAGTTGTAGTCAAGAGTACCCTGAACCTGATCTTTTATTACAGTCTCCCAATTGCCTCCAATCTTCTCTTTCCAATCTGTACTATATACCATAGCCATAATAATCTTCCTGCAATATTGCCTCTACTTTTTCTCTCACCTGATTTAAAACTTTCAGTGATTTTCCATTGTCTAGCAAATAAAATACAAGCTCATGAGTTTTAGCATTCAAGTCAGTCTTATTTACAATTGCTTCCATGCTTTGGCCCTAAACTACCTTTGCATCCTTCTTTACCACTGCTCCTATTCCTTATATTTCAGCACACTTTGTTGTTGTTGTTCTTGTTGTTGTTGTTGTTTGGTTGTTTTTAGTCATATCCAACTCTTTGTGACCCTGTTTGGGGTTTTCTTGGCAAAGATGCTGGAATGCTTGGTCATTTCCTTCTCCAGCTCATCTGGATGAGAAAACTGAGACAAACAGGATTAACTTACCCAGGGTTACACAGCTAGTAAATGTCTGAGGCCAGATTTAAACTCAAGTGTCTTCCTGATTCCAGGCTTGGCACTCTATCCACTATGCCAGCTAGATGCCCACCTGAACTAACCATCAGACATGCCAATATGTAATTCTACTTTTATGATTTTTCTCATACTATTCCTAATATCCTATATCTATCTTTGAAAACTAGGAATTTATTCTGAAAAAGTGCAATTACACTAAGTTCAAACCTCTCTTGTCACATGTTATATTCTACTTTGTTTTATAGGGGTTTTTTTTTTTTACATTTCAACTGTCCTTATATAGACTGTATGTTTTATGAGAGTAGAGCTAAAAATCATTGTATCTCTCCCAATTTCTAGCACAAGGTCTTGCACATGATACAAAAAATAAATGTGTTGCTTGAATGAATAGAATGGAATACAGACACAGAATCAATGGGAAGTATGGAAATAAAGAACTATCATGTTTGGAACAGTTGAAAGTTCTATTTTGTTTCAAAGTAAACGAGCATACATGAGGAAATTTTCTTCCTACATGGGCAAAAGACAATGTGAAATAGTGGAAAGAGTGCTGTAGTTGGATTTCTCCATACTTGAGTTAAAAGTTTGGATTTAACAATGTCTATATGACCACAGAGAGTGTGTTTCACCACTCTGTCTCTTTATCTATAAAGCAAAGAGGTTTAATTAGATGATCTCTAAATTATCTTCCATCTCTGGATGTGACAATTGTTAGATTGAGAAGCT